AATGCATTTCAATAACCAAGAACACAATCATTTATCTGTGATATCTTAAGAGTTAACACTCTTTAGATGTCAGAAGGCTTTGTAAATGTAATTGCAATTTTTGTATTGTAACATACGTATGTCCATGACATACGTATTCTATATTGAGCAAGTTGCAAATTGAACTGCTTTCTATATTGACATCAAAATCAGTTCTGGAATAAGAGTACAATTTTATGACTTTCCTAACTACCTAACAAAGATATGGAAATTACAGTCTAGCAGGTAAGTGTTTTAATCGAGGTCTATTTTGTTAGAAGAAACTCGGAAACAATCTTTGCAGTGTAAATGAAACTCCATATTGCTCCTTACATATGCATTTCTTACTGATGTACAATTACTGTATTGTTAAAGAAATAAAAGATACCATACGTTATGAGACTGAAGCCATTTAAAATTATTATAAAACATTGATAAAATTCTTTCTTTACCAGGATCTTCAAAATAATTTTTGACAAAATGGAATAGTGGATATGCAATAATGTATCTATTTAGTGCCCCAAACGTGAACATTCATTCTTGTGGGGGGAAAAAGTAGGGACACTAAGTTTGCTGTTAAGGCAGACTTGAAATTATACCCAATTGGCCTGACAGCCTATTAAGAAGCTCTGTCCTGCCAGCTATATGTGACAGAAGGAGTTGTTCAGGTGATTCCATGTGTCCAAAAAGAAAGAATGGCATGATATGGCAGATATGTGTTGAATATCAATAATAATTTATGCAGTTTCAAGAAATTACAAACTTGTAATTAATTCATAATGAAATGATTCATTGTACTAGGAATTTACCTTTTTTTCTTTTTAAGTTTAATTCTGCTTCACATCTTTGTAGTGTTTGTAGTGTGGCATCACTAGTTGCACAAGGGAAGAGACATATCAGGGACAATTTGTTTGAATGATCAGGGCCTTCCAACCTTGCAACTATTTTTACCTCCATTGTCTTTTTATAAAATATAACCTCGCTTTGCTAATGCTGATATAGCTATTGGTTCGCTTTCATTTACCTAAACATCTTGTGATGAACTGAGAGGATTCTTTCCTTTGTGAAGAAGTTGAAAAGAAATCTCCACTGATGGGTAATTGAATTTGATTGCCGGTTTTGAAAAGAAATCACACAGGAAAAAAGACCATGTGAATGAACATTTGTGTTAGAGGCACTAACATTTGACATTAATCACCATCATAAAAGATCCATGTCACACTTGTTTTAAGAACTAAAATTCATTTTTCAATACCAACATGCTTTGGTGCTAATTGTGTATAAGTGTTTATAAAAGCACCAAAACAATTCACCCAAAATGAGTAAAACACTAACCATTAGATTTCATTTCCTCAGGAAAATGTTATATGACATTGACAATTATAGCACCAAGCCATAGATAATAACTTGCGCAAAACATTCAGAACTGAATTCCACAATAAGGAATGAGGCTTGCAATAAAACATTGAGAAAGTAAATTGAATCTTCCCAAACACGAAATTATCATTCAAAATTAATGCTTTCTTGCAAAATATTTCACACACTGACCAACATAGTCGTTTTTTCATTAAATCTCTGTGATAGTAATTTATTTATGTACTTAATACAGACCATACAAAATGAAATATTTGCCAGATTCTGACTAGATATTCAGTTCACTATAATATATTTATATTGTGCTTCTAAAGAAGCTATCCAAGTATTTAAACACTACATGAAAATATTTTTTACCATATAATATTCTTATACTTATTGGATTCGTGAAATGGTGCAAGTGAGCATTTCTAATGAATTATTGCAAACAGAGAAACATGCTTCCATTTTACAAATATTTATTTATAACAAAATAGTATAAAATTTTGATCAAGTAAATAATTTGTTAACTAGTATCATATACTGTCTCTTCAGTTATGAAAAGGGATGTTATAATCTGCAATTTATAAGAAAGATCACTAAAACGGCTCTTTGCATGATGCCCGTTGATAACATGCATTACAGTGAACAAATTAAAACAAAGTCGACGCAGTGGCTTTAATGAATAATCTTCATGTACATATATAATATATAGTATAGTACGCATGGAACTTTTGTCTCATCCAAGTTATCTAGTTAAAGCAAGACTTCGAGAAATTTCTTTTTCAAATACTAAGACTTATAGCAATCATAGAAAAGCTGTCCATCAGCACACAACACACAAAGTCAACAACCCAACAATAGCAAAACGAAAAAAGGAAACTGAACTGTGCAGTTTGTAAATTCATGACCAAAACTTCACATAGTAAATGAACTATTCTGTCATTCGTGTATAATATAATAAGGGTGAATAGAGAAAAAGTGCAAGTAGGATTCATAGGACGCTCACATCAGTCTTGTGTCTGCGTAAGAAAAAATAGAAGCATTCGATCTCCCAGCAAGTTTGTAATTCCGGCTACATACTGCTGAGGCAGGCTGTATTGGTGGGGAGCCCTCTTTCTTCTGGTGAATCATCGGTGCTAAAAGTCCTCTTCCAACTTTTTCGTGTAGTATATATGTTGTTAATCGCACGAGGTCTAGAAGCAATAAAAAATTTATCATATTGTGACAAAGTTGTGGCTGAGATAGATGTTGAAGCTTGCGCCAACCTGATTTACGAGAAAACCGTCAGAAAAACCTAGACGTTAATGGCATTTTCAGGACTTATTATTAACAAGCTTAAAGAAACCTAACGTTTTGAAAAAAGGGGAGAACAATCCACCAAAGGAATACATTCAAGCATTCACTAAAGCACTGAAAGTTCTTGCAATATGAGAAATTCAAATTGTAATGGAGGAATTGCTTGGGAGGCACAAAAGCATCTGTTTCAGCTGCCTCAAGCAACGACTAGCAGCAAACCCAAGGCAGTTAGGCAGCAGGGCGGAGGTGAGACTTCATTGAGTTGCGGGGAAGGGGATGGTGGTGGGACTTGCCGAACAGAATGAGGATACAAAAACACATCACTAATACCAAAAAATAAAATGGAAATGTCTGATTTAAAATAACTGCCTTTTTAAATCTCTTACGATTTCATTTCTGACAATTAATTATATGATTTAAGGACTACGATTCAATTGATTCACGCTTTTGTCTGTCAGGATCTCTGCAAATGCCACACCAGTTTTCGATGTTTTTCCTGAAGGTTGAGTAGTTGGTTAAGAATGAGCTTTTGGCTATTTTTTTATTATTTTCTCTCATATTAAGAATGTTTTTTATATAAATGTAGTTTTATTCTGATATCAATTTATTTTTTTCTCATGTTTTAAAAAAGTTACTCCTCTGAAATAAGATTTCATAAAATCTATGCTATAAGCCTTTTCTATCTCTTAGAACTTTATGTGGGTATCTTTCAGTTTTTTGTGGCCAATCAAAAAAGGTGAGGAACATCTTTCAAAAGGTAGCATTCCAGCACTTTCAAAGCTCAAAAAATTCCCTAGAAATGAACATTTAATTATTTTATTAGCACAACTATGCTTTTAGTATAATGCTAAACGCCGTAATATGAAGGTTGAAGGGGTTATGCAATACGAATGAACTTGCAATTGCCCTGGGTAGCATACAGAATGCGTGGCAAAGTATAGACATGGCAGGGCAGTATTTCACTATGATAGAATTTGCTCATCACTTGTTCTAATAGCTCAATTGTGGCTAATTGGTTGCGGAAATGCAGGTTCAGATTTATTTGTTTAATTTCACATCTTTAACAAATTGTTACAATTTAATGCATATTGTTCATTAAGCGGTAAATTTTCGATGTCAAAATAGGGGGATTTTACCTTCATCATAGAAAGCAATCTTGGAAATTTCCAAACTTTTCATTAAAAAAAATAACATTTTTTACTCAAGCAGAATATAAATTAAGGTCATGAGGTGAAAAGGATACAACTGGAGTCTATGCAGCAGTGGCTTTGAAGCACAAAGGCATGTTTACACATTCCAGGGTATCAAATTTCCTTTTGACCTCATAAAACATTATTTTTAATACTACTTAACTGCAATATGTCATAACACGTGTTAAAAAATTGTGCTCCTCATGCTTTGATAATTACTATTCAATCCTTTCCCTTTACTGGGCCCTGATATTATTTCATTAATTCAGTTTACGTTCATTTCATTCTTTTTTGCATTGTCTATTTTATGTCTTCCAAACTAAATTTTCATTCATGTTTTAGTATTGCGATAAGAAAATTATTTTACTATTGTGAAAGGAATGTTGCGAACAAATTAAGTTGTGAGAGCAAGTGCACCATACAACAATGTACAAACCACAAAAATCACAGGATTATAAGAAAGCAATGTTCTGTGTTTTCGATTGCGAGTGCTTTGGTTCAACGTGTAAACTGTTGTTTACAACCTCACTCATCAGTCAGGACTTGCCTCACACTAACCCCTGCATAAAATATCGTATTCCCATATAAAATGAAACAATAATTGTCTCTGAACATAAAACCTAATTTTGAAGGAAATCTCTGAGAATTTTTCTAAATTTGTAATATATTTTTATATTTAGTCAAAATAAACGAAAATTCTTCCCCTTGACAAGAAATTGCTTATTGATGAGACTTAAGAATGGGTTGAACTACCATTTTCTTGATCCTTAATATTATAACTGACAGTAACTAATATAGGATACGCATTCCAGATGGAATTTACAAAATTGTATTTTTAAAGACTCTCATTGTGGCACCCGAATTCAATTAATAACAAGTAAAAAAAACCACTATGTTTTATACCCTTTTTTCTTGGTATGGTCCCAATCATTCCATATGAACAGCTTGTTATTCAACCATTTTCTAGCTCAAGCTTTGCTAATCACGCAACCCGAGATAGTTTTTATTTTACATTTTAAATAAAAGAATATATTGCCAGGACCGGAATTAACCAATGGTATAACCCTCAGGATTGAATGTGTTAACTGTTCAAAAAGTATGATCGCATTTATTGAGGCATGAAAGAGATTCTGCACGGCTTCAAACAAGTTTCTTATAAAAAATCGCTTCATTCATTTTCACAATAAGTTTCATTTGATCATTCATTTTGAGATTGTCTTCACTTGCCCATTCAAAACTATCAATCTGAATTGCCTGAGAAATTCTCAGTGGATCATCTCACATTTTCACTAAAGGTTTTAACTTCCATCAACAAAATTAAGTTGGTGATTAGCAAGTTTTAGGTAGAAATTGATATCTCAACAAAGTTAAAATTAAATAAAAAGATTTGTGAAAATAGATTTTTCTCATTGTTCACTCGAAAATATTACATTATAGTAATGATGAAGCGATGATGGATATGAAGTAACAAAGAAAGCACTAGAATTTATTTCATTCATTTATTTCAGATTCGTTCAGCCACAATCAGTTTTGACGATGCATGATTCACACACTCCTGAACATATTGTACCTTGACCATCTCCCTGCTAATTTACAAAGATTCTATATTCCTGATGTAACATATTAAGGAGTTTTGGTGGCAAGTGTAAGGAGATATCCATTGCATTATGCATTATAACAAAGGAATCATTTCAAGCGTTGAACAGAGAAATTGCATATTACATCAAAGAGTGTAAACTAGTGGTGGGACATTTAAAACACGTTATGATTCAACAGAACAACAAATATACATTGAGCATGGAGTTTTAGATTTTGTGGCCCTCTGTGATGAGTATGCAGTCTGAAATTATAAATCTGCTTTCCTTGAAAATATAGGAAATACCTTAAAACAGTTCGTTATGAGCGTAAGACATAACCTATTGCGAAGATATGATTTGAACTCATTTTTCGAGAATTTCTTTCCTGTCACCTCTCCAACATATCCAATTAATTCTTGCCAGCATTGTGGAGTTGGTAAGGAATAATTGTAACTGCCTCGCATACGAGAATCGGTTTATCAGAGTTGGAAAAATTCAACTTTTTGGTTTTTAGGCGGCCATTTTCCCGATTGTACAGTGGCCGTAGAGACTCCCATAGGCATGCACTAATTATGAAGGTATAAGGGCGTACCTTATGCACAAGGTAAGACGTTATGACTTCAAGGTCCATCATGTGACTGATAACGCCTCTACATTACGCGTGGTGCTAAAACTCCCTAATGTATGCGAAAGCAGTTCTGACAAAAGACTTATGACACAAATACATTTTTAATTTAATTAATAATGCAGAGAAAATCCCTTACCTTTGCTGGACTCCTACTAAAACAGTAGCTGAGAGGTTGTGAGGGAGAAGTTGGTATTGTCTTTTGTTGATCCAATGACCGAATGAATACTGCATGCTTCTCTGAAATTCGTCGACATGGAGACATGGGCTGATTCTTTCCCAAAGGAAGTGGGGAGAGAGTCAAATTATCAGGCTGCAATAATAAGACTTGGTAATATCACATACATACAACAACAAAATATATATAAAATCAAATAGTATTCAATCATTTATTTCTTGAAACTTAAAAATAAAGATAAAACTTTCCAATTTTGAATTAGCAGATGAACTAATTATAACTTACTTAATTTAAACATTTTAGAAGCACCAAAATGTATAGATATATTTAAACACAACTTGATATGTATTTTACCACGATATTTAGACATCTTAGACTAGACATTTACTATCATCATCCATGGTGCAGTAGCAATTCAAGCCATCTTTCACATTTTATTTTGTGTAATAATAATAATAATAATAATAACCAAAACAATTTGTGCTATCTTTTCCAATATTGTTTAAAAGACAGAATTGTTGGTATATTCAGTTTTGGAAGTTGGCTGTTAATCTAACTTTTTATACATTATTTGACTATTATTGATAATTACCTAAGGTGATTAGAGCGAGATATTCCCTAGTAGATTAAGCCCAAATTAGACATGTAGATGATATCCCATGTAGATAGAATCCATACATTTAAAAATATTTATTTGCGAGATAAATGGGTACTGTGAGACCAACATATACAAAATAGGCACTCTTATGATGAGTTTTATTTAATTGTAAAAATGAATTTTGTTTCATAGATAGAAAATAAAAATATTTCAATACAACAAAGACCCATTGTTGACTAGTTTCTTAACTAGTACCAACTGATCGCAAGGCCAAGGAATGAAAAATTATGGCATATGACTGAACATAAAGAGTGCTATCACACAATCAGAATTATAAAATGTAACATTATAGACATATTTATATTTTTTTTCCAGTGATCGCTAATAATGGCCCAAATTTCCCCAACTGAGTAGGGCGAGAAGTCTGGTAAATTAGACAATTTCATGAAGTCCTGAGATTGGTACACTTGCTCAGTGCACATGCTTCTTTCGTTGTTTTGTATCACTGAATACTGGTGGACAAGCGGAAAATATCACCGTCTGAGTGAATTGTCGGAAGATTAATTTCCAAAGCGGTATTTGAGAGAAGGCAAAATAATTCCTCCCAATGTCACACAGAACAGTGACATAATAAAAAGTTTGAATATTTTTTAATGCTCATTTCTCTATTTTAATTTCTTTAATTTTCTAGGTCAATGGTAGGATAAACCTTAAGATTATTTGATTGCTTAACAAGATTAGTAGTTTAGTTCTGGCCAATATTGTATAAAAGTTTATTTTGTAAGTTGATGGAAGTTAATAGTTATTATTTCCGCCAATGTGATTAAGTAATTTATAGAAGCTATTTGCTGGTTGCAATGTTTTCAGCATAATTTTATACCATGTTATGATATCGATTTAGATACAGATTATTGGGAAAGTATATACCAAACTAAAGATGACAAAATGAAATTACAGCATCATATAATTCTAAGAGTTGCTTTACAACATTGTTGGAGATAAAATCTTCTACAGAGATTTCCAAGTGGCATGGTCTTTTGAAATCAATTGTCTTGATGTTGTGCTCAAAAATGTAAATATGTTTTGGAAATAAGAAATGAGACTTATACAATATGCATTACCACTGTTCAGGGAATGCGAACTATTAGGCACAATATACAGCTGTAGAGAAACTGACGTTTCTACTAAAATACTAATAATTAGATACTGCGGGCCTTCAAGCTCAAAATTGTATTGGGCACTCCTTCAGAAAAATCTTTGATTAACTAAAACTACTAATTATGATAGAATAAATCCTTGTACAAATACAGAAGTAAATTAACAAATTGCTTACAAAGTGGTAATTACATTATTAATTTCTTATTTACAAATACGTATTAAGTTTCTTATTGTTCCAATCAATTTACTTTTAAATTCAAACACTATAGTTCACTCAACTGTTTGATTATTGATTATTATTCAGATAAGAACATTTTATGAAGTTTTTAAGAATACTAATTTAAAAAAATCCAGTTCTACATTTACCTACATCTTGAATGATTAACATAAGCAAAAAAGCATTTTATCATTTCAACTCATGCCACTAAAAAGTTCATCGAGGTGCTGATCTAGGCTAAAGGTTGCTGCTTTCAGTCCTATGTAAGATATCTTGCAACTGTGGTGTACAAGGCAATGACAATCCATTGTGTATCTCTCAAAATAAAAGATAATATGAATCATTTTTGAATAATCAAATAATAAATAAAAATCATCTGTTCTGGAGCAAAAGTTAAAAAGCTTACATATGGTACAATATGAAATAATAATGCTCAGCGGAAAGTATAATAAGTCTATAAACCAAAGATCACCCATTTGCTAATAGAGTAGTAATTCCAATGATGTATCACTTGGATTATATATTAAATTGAGTTTATACAAATTGCACAAATCATCATATCCATCACATTTCAGCTTTGGTGAATATCTATCTCGTTAATATCAAAGGCAATGTTTTCCAGGTGTGAGGATCTTTAAATTGTTCCCTGAAGACCCAGAAAAATGCAATATCTGTTGCCGAAGATGTGTCCCTCAATTTGAATGAAGAGCACAACGTGTGCGGTGTTGCGAAGCGGCCCCTTACTTTCCTGATCTTCTAGGACGTGCACAAACATCTTCCCATTGACTGATTTACACTTATAATTTTGCAAATTTCTCCCATTTGAAATGGTAATGTCCTTCAAATTACGCTTATGGATTCTTTGAGATGATAGCTATTTAAGGAAGAGTTTTTTAAAAACATTTTTACAGTTAGCTTTCTCACACTTTAATAATTTCAGGTCAGATCTGTAAGCTCACCATAGGAGCCCATGTTAAAACGACAAACTTTTCGGTCACGTTATGTGAAAACTAAGACTATTAAATCCATCCAAACTATACCAGAATGAAGAACCTCACATCATACAAATACAATAAAATAATAATAAAAAAAATGTTAAACATTAAACTTATCTCGCTCTAACCCCCTTAAATATAAGAATTATATTTTTATCAAAATTATAGATCTTGCGAGTTGTTTCCAATTCGAAGTTAAAATTAAATTCTCGGATCAAATACATTTCCATAAAACTAGTAATGTACTTGGTACATGTACATGTAATGTACATTGGTACATGTAATGTACTATTTTCAAACCGGGTCATGTTATCATGTAACTCATTGTAACAATCTTAAATATATTCAACAATACAAACTTTTAATCCACGTGGCATGGAAACTTTCTGTGTAACCGGTACCTCATAATTAGCAACTACTTTAGAAATCAGTACACTAACATCTCATTGAAATTACAATTTTTTTTATTTCTTAAATTACATTTGATTATATGCTATCAAAAATTAATTGGGAGGATCTTTCTTATGATTTAAAAATAATAATTCAAGAGTCTTTTACAATTCCAACAGCTCAAAACTAATTGATGATATAATACACCACTTAGTCACAAGAGTAGATTACCAAATAAATATAACATCCACACAACCATCTCTAAACATTAATTTACACGTAATGGAGAAAATTTTGAAGGATTTTGCTTGGACATGTTACATACCTGTTGGCCAACTGAAGAAAACTTTACTGCAAATCCTTTAACCTTTGGTACATAGACAGTGTTGTAAAACATTATTAAGTCACCTCGATCTTCAAATTCAAAACTATTTGATGTGCCTGCAAGGCGAGTGGGAGTCGGAGGGGCTGAAGGCTGACTGGCAGGAAGGTTTCCAGAGTCCCTGCTATCCTCTGAAATAACATATCCACATCAACACGGAATGTCATGGTTTTAACACTTTTTGTTTCCCTTGCCAAGTGTCACCAAACATTCAAAGAAGAGGGCTTTAGTCTTAATTCCGAGAATACTATCAAGCCTGAACAGATTAATATTAATCTTACACGCATTCAAATTAAATGAACTGGAAATACAATTTTTCTAAATATTCTTAACTCACAACCAGTAATTAAATTTTTTACTAGTTATGCAGAAACATCCCATAATTTTTTGCATTGCTTGTAATGTTATAATAATTAATAAAAACAGGAGGATTTCCAAACTGCAAAATGACACTGGTCAACATGGTTTTTGTCTCAAGAGTACCAATAAATGTACTTACAGTGAACACTTCATTGTGAGTGCTTTGTGTTCGTGAATTATTGTGTATTTCATATTTATGTTAGTCCAAAATGCCTATATTTTGTTTAAATAATCCTAACAATTTTTTGTTATGGATTTGGTGAAATGACGCTGCAGTACCAAAGGCAAAACCTTACCCTGATTTAGTGAACCCCTTTCCAATATCTTATAAAAATTTGAATTACACTTCCTCCACTCGCACCTAGATTTCTTCCCAGAAAATCTTGGTGCAGTGTGTGATGAGCACGGGGAACACATTCACCATGAAATTTTACCAACAAACAGAAAAAGATCCTGCTATGCAGACCGATTATTGTTGGACCATTATGAGGGATGCTTCACAGGCCAAGTATAGCAGAAAATCATCAATTCTTATTTTCAACGCAAGTCGATAAGGTTGAATATTGTGTAGTTATGAACACACAAAGTATGAAATTATAAATGAACCTCTTGCAAACATTGCGTAATGAAGGAGGGAAGAAGAAGAAAAAAAGAAGAAACAAAGAAAAGAAAAAAAAGAGAGAAAGATTTTACACACACACACACCTATACACACATACATACATAAATAAATAAATAAATAAATAAAATTGTTCCCTAGTGTTATTTTCCTGAATTGGAATTTGGGACCAGGTACTTAGGTTTAATAAGCAATTCACTTTATCTGTTTTTCTAGTAACTGGACATACCAATGCTTGTAAGAAAAAATTTGGAGCTATTTTTACGAAAATTGCTTCTGAACGTTTCTGAAAATGCGGAATTTTCAGTTCATTTTTAAAGAAAACTGCTGAGCGTTAACTACATCATTATTTAAACCACATGTAGTCATAAATACAATAATGTAAACAAATCATCACTAATGCAAATATTAATGATGTGAGACACACATTAAAAATTCTAGATTTTGTTATTTTTTAAATTTCCAAATATTGCGCAAACACTACAAATTTTCAAAAAAACCTATTTGACCTTAACAAAAGAACTAAATATGTAGAAAAAATTTTACTTGAAGGAATAACTTCTATCTTCAATTTTGTAGTTTTAGAATAACACCAGGAGAGGGAAAAAATTCCAATTTTCGAAAATTCAGTAAATAACAGACGTGCTATCTTTCAAAAAATTTAAAGAAAACATTTGGAATCATTTTTGAGAAAATGATAAAGAATGTTTTTTAAAATCACAGCGCTTTGAGTCTGGCCAGATCAACCAGGGAATATCCATTTTGAAGAAAACATACTTTTTTTGGTATCAGGGGGACCCCAAAACGTGTATTTCTGCTGAAATCTCGAAATTGATTTGCCACAGCATTAAATAACTCTCTGTACTATGTATATTACTCCTTATATAAGAAAGTAAAAAAGTAATTAGTTTTCCTCTGTGGCATCAGTTTGCTGCAAACTATATCCCCTTCATGCAACACCTAGCTTGTGGGCAGCTCAAATCCAATAAACACGAGAAAAGAGGATGCAGCATCATGAGTATTTAGCATTAGCTGCACACTGTCTTGACAGTTCGAACGACCTCTTATTAATCTTAATGAAAACCTAGACTTCAGATGATATATGTTGCATGATTACCTATGAAGCACATAATATTGTTTAATGATCAGCTCTGAACTTCTCATTGACAAATTTCAAGAAACACGTTTTCAGGGTCCCCAAGGAATTGATTGATTTGCTTCTTGGGAAATCTGGCCCTGAAACAAAGACCTCCAAAAACACTGTTTTCCCCTTCACGCTTAGCTTAGCATCACCTGAGCTTGGAGATTAAATGATGTATTAATTTTTAATATAGAACTACGTGAAAAGAAAATGTGACTTTTGATGACCCCCCTCCCTAAAAAAATGGAAATTGGCTGCTTCTTACCTTTGCTTTTGTCAGGACTACTTGAATTGGATGTACCATTATTGGAACATCGTCTTTTATTGCACAAGAGTACACTGCGATAAACATGGGAATCTGCCTGAGGTTGCAGACGGTAGCAGCGCATAATCTCAGTAAACGTTTTTTCAATCTTTGCCACCTATCAAAGAGAAGGATCATGTAGTTGTAGGCATAAAATGAGAAGAAACTCATATGTATAGTGGTTACAAACCCAAAATCACAATTAAGTTTGGAAGTACACAAAATTAGAACATCTAAGAGATAAGTTGTGATAATCCAAAAAAAAAAAGTATATCAACATTAAAAAAAATGACAGTCCAGTTTCAATGGTAAAGAACTGCAAGAATATGAGGTGCATGTAATACATGTTCAGTGTACTGTTAAACATCTCTTAATATGCTAGTATATACAACGTAGCAATGAGAATGCTTCATAAGGCTGTGTTAGAAGATCTCCGAGCAACAAAACTTCCTCTGAGGTCCATTTTCTCCCAGATGACCAGTAACATGACAAAACACAACCTCTCCCCGATCAAATTACTTACCAACTAGCCATGCAAGGAAACAACACTTACTTTGCATATGACATACACAGCACACATCAATATCTGATCTAGATGTCTGTCTTCCATTAAATCAGTTTGATTTACAATAGTATGTTCAAAGCAAGTCCAAATTTTTTTCCGTAAATCAGCATCTGTCAGTTCCAACTGAGCACATAGTTCTTGCATTCTCACAGATGCCAACGAGTAAAACTGGAACCAACAGTACACAATTAGGGGAACTAATTATAACATTTATTACAAATGAAATACTTTACCTATATTCTTACCTTTCTGAAGAACAATCCCAAGGAATCGCCACGCTTAGCCTTCTTCTCTTTTGGTGGAGGGGGTGGCTGACGTGATTGCACCGAATGGGTCTGAATTATGACACTTCCAGTGCCTGGGACATAGAAAATGGGACTAAATCTACCATTTTCACTTTCTAAAGCTGTAGAAAAAGAAACAAAACTAATTAAAACAATTGTCTTAACGGCCAATTGTAAGTACTTTTTAATAGTAGAGAATTGTTTAAGGTTACAAATACTCATAATTTAGTAGATAACAGTAATACAAGTCTTATCAACACAGTTTGGAGTTCTTTTCCTTAATAAAAATCACACATTAATTTTTGTGAGGGTAGATTTATCAAAAGGACCACTCATCAGTTTAACACACACATCCTTCGCAATACAGGTTTCTCAATTTGCATTACAAGACAAATATGCAACCAACCATAGCTAAATAGGCTGAATGGATTCTACTGGGCCTCAAACTTCATCATGCCCATGAACCCTTTGCCCAAAAGAGATAATTCCCTAAATGCAAAAGATTGAGACATTCCAATCTGTGACTTTAAGAATAGAAGAAAAAGAATTTTAAGTCAAATCATTGAATCCTGAATAAATAAAAAAAACAACACCCCCCTAAGAAAACTTTTAGTATTTGTCCCACTAAGGAGTTCTGAAAGAATGACAAATAAGGTCTAAGAAGATTTGTAAATCTATTTGTTACATTTCCTGTAACTTCAATTGTTAATTTATTATTTTCCAAAATTGTAAAGCTTCGGCTCTTCTTAGAAATACAAGTTAAGCACAACATTTCGTTTCAGGATGGAATTTTAAGATGAATGTTTAGTTCAAAAACTTGTAGTCATTACTCACTGATTTAGTTTAATAAAACCGTTTTCTTACCCAGAAAACTTGCGCAAAACTAATATTTGTATTGTTTTCAAAAGCAATAAAATAAATAATAAATTAAAACACAAGAAACCCATAAATTTGCTCTCATAAATAATAAGCAGAGATTAAAATTCACAACTATAAAGTTAGTTGACAATTTCCTAAATCAATTCACAAGATGTCAATGATAGTCGGCACATAAACAAGAAATGCAGATACTATTAGTAAGAAAATGGTCACTTACGCTGCAGATTAATTGCAACAGGTTTGGAAGTTTGCAAAAGTGACTGCCCAGGTTTCACTTGTCGATGAACCATAGTCATAGGAACACTATCACTTTGAAAGAGGCGTTTTTTTGCCACACTCCCAACAGGCACTGGTGACTGAAACCTATCAGTGAGAGAGGACACAGGAGATTGAGGAGGATCTGAAACAAAGAATGAAATTGAGATTTAAGTGCTACATCAGAATGTTCTTTCTTTCAGTAATGGTTACATAATATTAATACCACAATTTCTGCCCATAGCACATTTTGGCCTTCACTAGTAAAACTCATTACCAACCGTAGCACATTAGGTGCAAAAACAAATTCTAGTACATCAACAGACATTTGACACTCCAAAACTGCAGGTCATACAGTAAGGAATATTGGGAAGCATAAATAAAAACCTTGACTTTACTTCAAATCTGAAGTAGTGAAAGCATTTACTACCTAGCAAACGCATTTACTTAAAATGGTGCGAATAACCTTTAATTTCTACTAGGAAGTAAATGCAAGAATATGAAAATACTTGTTGGAGAATTCTGGGATCATCAGCACATTCTCGCAGGAGCTATTTGCGAGGTTAGGTTGCTCAGTTGAATTTGTTTATTAGTGTGTATATGAAAGAAATGAGCTCCACATATCAGATTTCTAAGACACACAACGTTTTTCAAATGTGATTTGTTATCATTGAAAAACAGGACTTGTATTCGAGTTAAATATATCATTTTCTAACAAGCCGGAAGCTACATACTCTGCAATTATTAGTGACTATGAACAAGTTTGTGGAAAACCAGTGACATTGCCACAAGTGGAAAAAGAACAAATATATGCACACATGTATGAAAACAAAGAAAGAAAAATCACCAGGAAGCAGAGAAATTGTTTTGCAGCTGTGGGGGGAAAATGGATCTAAGAGCACCAGTACAGACTTCAGTGTTCGACCATGTCCGGTTCAAGGCAAAAAACACATTTATTTGATTTTAATTTATTTTATCAAAAATATTTTTTGCAGAGTTCATCTCCCTAGGACAAAGTGACGACATTTTGTTGAAGCAAATCCCTTGCAGTTGAGATATTCATTCCAATGTACTCATGGCTTCTCAACCTATATAAGATTAGCTTAAAGTACCAATTGCACTCAGGATATGGAAATGCTGAACCCATTCTGCCTGCACAATATTCTAATTTCTTTTGGAAATTTTATCCAAATATGGGATGTTAATTAGTTTTTGCTGAACACTTGGTATTGTCATCAATCCTGCGGAACAGTGAACCCCAGTGTATCTTGCCATTCTAATTTGGAAATTTGGATCGCTTATGAAACTTGAGCAACTTTCTAGTCTTTCAACGTTCATTAGAGTACCACATTTCCCAGGATTCACCTAACAAGTGTTCTGATAACCGCTTTACAAACTCTCCACAAATCAAAAGAATTCCTGATGTTAAGCCCCACAAATACAATGCGAATGCGGTAATTTTATTGGGCTCATAAATTCAGGAATTCAGTTATTCTTGTCATCTCTACCCCAAATGGGGAGGACCACAGACAGTGATTCTCATCTTGGCAGGTTGTCCACTTGCAAGACATTATCATTTTGAAGATATGCATTATACTAGCACTTGTAACCATCTTATATTCTCAAGGTTTTCATGGTTACGAATAAAAAGATTATTTTGAAACGTCGAGCAGCAATGGTGAAAAGGCTTAATGTGGGGAAGACTAATGATTGAGTGATGACAAAATTCTTCATGAATTTTACAGTGACAGTGATAGACAAGTAAACTTTACTCAATAATTATTTATATTCCTGAAGATATTCACTGCAATTACAATCAATTGATGGCTTTGATTAATTTTTGGCATTATTGGATGACTAAAAAAATTAGTATTGCTGTGAACATAGTATTCAGTGTAATATTCTTTCTATATTGCAATATTCTAAGCCTGTGTAACCCAGAAAGCGGATGGGAACTAGGGTAGGGTATCTTCCTGAGTTGCCGGTCCACATTGTATTAACTATTCATGTACTCTGTCTGTAATAGTGGATTACAGAATTAACATTCTTATACTAATGTCCACTTACTTCTATCATTCGTAGTTCGGCGAGAAGAATCTGTTCCACAAGGGCAGTCATCAAGTTGGCCTGGAGGGAAAGCATCCTCACAAGAAGGAACTGGCAATCCAGAACAACGAATATTTTCCCACAATGGACTCTCACTTTTCCAAGCCATTGATTCAAGGATCTGCTCTTCAATCTATAAATAAGCACGATGAGCAAAATTCTTACTTGCTTCAGCAGTGACCCACAAAGGAAACATCAGGGTCTTGAAGAAATAACAGGTAATTTAAATCGAAAGAAGCACTATTTGGAAGGATAGAATTAACACTTCAGCATGGGAACACTGCCTCAGCCAACTGAAGGAAGATGACTACGCACAGCTACACAGAAATTGTAACATATGCCCAATTATCTAATTAATTGGGTGAAGATTTTGAATAATGGCTTCGTCTAAAACTAATTTCTTTTCTAAGACCATTGTTGCACATAGTTGATATGTATTCTGCAAATCATTACATGGATTCTTGGAATGTTAATCATTTTCTGCAGTGCTCCCAGTAAAATAAAAAATACTGATACAAATTTTTTAATCCTTGATCAAGAATGAATTTCACATAACTTGCACAAATTTTCCTCCAAAACATGCATATTTGAACTAGCCAAATATTTCTAGATATGGGATGCCATTATCAACCTGAGAAGATTGATTTGTCTATCCATATGACTCCCCAAAATTTGATCTTTATAATGAATAAGCTTAAGAAAGTAAAGCTTAATTTACTATCTAGAAAGCTGTGAAAACAGATTTAAAATATTTCTTAATTTGCCTTAAAGAAACATACACTCAAAGCAAAACCTGCACCAAGCATGTCATTCTATGCAGACAGGAACTATCTGTGGCCAGAGAAAGTCACAAGTTTCTCAAAAGTAAATGAACAGTACTCACATGGTTCAAATGTTTCACCATATCACGGGACAGCTGGTCTTCTACACGAACTATTGGCTCTATTACTTTATAGAAATGGAATGGACACAAATTAAATGCTTCCAGTATCCACGGAAAAGTCCTCTGAGAGTTATACGAGTAGATTACTATTTCTAGACAACATGCAAATAAAGACTGGTGAAAAACATCATTTTCCAGCAGAACCTGTAACAAATTTACATGATCAATCAACAGATTTATTAACATTTATTGGGCAAGTTAGAATGACCTCTAATGTTGATATTTACTGTTAATCTTTCTTTGTACTTTCAAATACTCCAACAAAAAAACTTGTTACTGACACACATTTGGCGACTAGCAAAATATTAGAAGGACACCCAGTTTGTGGAAGGCTTTGTTCACATAACTATGTACATTGCAAAGCATAAATAACTAGTGGCACTATAGAATGGCACACTTTCTCATATTTGTTTTCTATTTTCTTTGGTCTGCGCTAGGTAATCTGACTTGCCCCATCCTCTTGCCAGCTGACATTTATCGTAGACTGAAGTACATTTTTTTGAAAATTTCTCAATTTTTCCGTTTTCTAATAGTAGAATTACATTATTACTTAACAAATATTAAAAAAGAGTAACACTTTGTCCTAATTGATAATTTTTATTGAAAAATTTGGAGCTTTTGTTAATGTGAATGCAAAATTTGAATTTCTTTCCACAGAAAACTATTAAAAACTTCATATAAAGTTACTTCAAGCACTTCCAGTTTCAAATGCAATAGAGTTTAGAAATCGCTGGAAATGTGCAAATTAAAGTCATGAGATACAAAGGGCATTCAAAAAAGTTCCCAGAATTGCCTTGCCGCCTGAAAGTGAAAAATTTTGCAACCGTGGAGAACATGAACTCGAGTGTGACGACTCAGATCCGACAAGTGCCAAAAGAACTCTTCTACTGCTCTTTGAAACAACAACAGGAATGGTGGAGCAAGTATATGGGTGATTGCCCATATCGGACGCAACGATTCTACTGCGAAAGTAATTAAGTTACTATTGCCATAGGTTTTAACATTAACATGCTGAACCACCATTTCAAGAAGTTTTTGATTTCCTTCGTATCTTTCCTGAACTTTGCAAGGACACTGCCACAATTTTGAAGAATAGCCTGTAAATTTTTTTCCCATTTCTATTCACACACTACTTTTTGTGGTATCGATGTCAGTTACATGTGGTTGAATTTATCTTTGGTACAGTTTTTCTTCTGGCAAGGTAGGATATTGGATTCAATCCAACAATTCAAATAAAGTTATTCATTGTTTTTTCTGTCGGAGTCAAAGATGGCCCAGAAATTGTTGACAATGATAACAGATCGCCAGACACCCTAACAATATCAACGGCGACGCAGGGTTGCGACTTCACGATGCTTGGAAGCC